TATCGATATATATATATATATATATATATATATAAAAGAAGCGGAAGCCGGGTAGGTTACTCAAATTTATTACTTTAACATTGTGTTCTTAATATAGGACTACCATTAAATGTTGTAATATTACTTGGCCATACCATTTAAGATACCATAGTCATATGCTATAATTTGGATGATGACACGGAATAGTATGTTTTGATCAATGCCTAAACTACCCTATCCACCTTCCCTTACTATGAGGATAATTGAGTAGATGTCCTAAGCATAATTGAGTTAAGGATCGTAACAGCATCATATATTGAAGATGTCAAAAATAGCATTGAGCTTGGAATTTAGCTGAAATTAGATGTAAGCACTGTTACGGGCAAAATGAGACAATTTAATAAGGCCATGCAATCCCAGAAAAGTTACAACCTATTTTTTATACTTTTTCACAAGTTACCTTTTTTGACTCTGATCAAAGGAGATAGTTGACTTTTAAGTGGCATTATGTACCTTTATTCTCTCATATTGTTATTTGACTAATGAAAAGCAATCATATAGCCTGAATCACAATTTGGGGTTTCAACACCCATGAACCTAGGGTGCCATTGATGGGTTCGCACTAGAAATGATTCACTCTTAGGGCCTAGATTGCTTGGGGTTATGGAAAGCTGGTTGAAACAGGGCTGTTCCAAACGTAGATAACCTGACACTGCAATTAACCTGGCTGGTTTAAAGGTGAAATTCTGGTTTAATTAGTTAGTAATTAATTTATTGCGATTACACCAGGATTACGTATTAGCTCCGCACATTGGCATGGCTACCTTGTTCCCTACTACAATGTTGGCGAGGATAGTTGTTCGGCTTGTAGACGAGCCTATTTAGCTGCCAGAGAGGACGATAGCTGGCCTTACTCCGCAAAGCACTGTAGCTTGCCCGGAGAAGGGGTTGGATAATGCCCAACAGCAAAGGCGAGACTCATAGCAGCTTTCATTATGGTGATTGCTTTCTCTCTCATACACTCACCAGTTTAAGTGCCCATTTTGCTGAACTCTATCCGATGAATAAAGGGACTCATAAAGTGGACATATACCAGCAGAATTTAGATAAGACTCTAGAACGACTTTTTACCGTGTACCAGCCGGGCCGGGATATTATGGTGAATTTGTCCGTACATGAGCAGAAAGATGACAAACATGGCATAGGCACACACATAAATACTCTGAACGAGGTTCGCCTAAGTGAGGCAATTAGTTTAATACAATATACAAAATGTTATTTTTAGCTCTCATAACTCACCCTATTCACTCTATGACTCAAGAACACTAACAAAACACCTGCACCTAAATACTCAAACCCACTTTCCCTCACACACCTTTATCAAGTGCTTGACAGCATGGCCACGTTCGAGGAAGTCAGTATTTACGACATATTAACTACGCCGCTACCAAAGTAAGTAAAAGGTCTGATCTGAAGACATCTGGATGACTAGCTCATTAGGCTAATATAAGTGAAGGCGGTATCTTAACCTTTAGGGACTTGCACCATACCAGATGGCCGGCAAAGTGTCGCCTACCGGAAGAGCAAAGCCACTTCTGGTCCTGACCGGTTTGCTTAGCTTTACGTTGACTTCTGGTCAAGATTACCACGGCAGAAGACAACTTTCGACTGCCATAACTGGTTTGATCAAATATTCTGCCCTAAGTAGATTTTCGTCGAATATGTGAATATTGAAGAAAAAAGATAAAAAGTTAAATTAGTATTCGCTGAACCTAACCTATGCAGATATTCGATCGTCTTGGCTAAACTATGTCTTCAAGGGAGAGGGAAAGTGAAATGGGGCGAGGTAAATAAGATTAAGGATCAGTGAAGGAACTAAGTTGATACGCGTATAGAATGAGACTAAAGGGCTTGGATACTATCCCTTTTAGCAATATAAACGAGTTCATAATATATATTTCAAGAGTGAATCTGGTTTACCTGGATAGAGAGAGAGATATAAGATCATTATTTCCCTTAATCTGAATCTTTTATAGATACCGCAAAAATGCAATTAAATGGGGTCTTAGAGGCAATAAGTTTGTAAAACTAGGGAAGAAAATTGGAAGAATATGTATTTTATTATTGAGATTATCACAATATCGAGATAATTACGAAAGGTGGTTATGAGGAGAATATCACATAAGATGGTTTATGAAATATGGTGACATATCGGGCTCTCGCACGGGAACGAATATACCCTCTTTCTAAAGTTATCCCATCATTTTCTCTAATACTATTAATATAAATTCTTATATATTATATTTTTTCCTCATTCCAAAGAAGTAGATACTTTATGCCATCTTATCTATATAATGAAACATTTAATGTTTCATCACCACTACCTTTTTATTGCATGAGTAAGAATTTTTGGTATGTTGGCGAAATTATTTAAGTGTAAAAAATGTTTTGACCTAAGAATTAGTTTAGAACTTTTTTAACTGGAAAAAATGAGGGTGCCCCGGAGTCTTTGTCAGTGAGAAAGTTCCAGAACAAAGGAATCCAAACTCGTTTTGTGGTGAGATATTACTACGAATGCCATGATAACACAAAATAATAATCAGCCCAACAGAATTTGACTTGGACTCTTGACGTTTAATGTTGAATAAATTAAGCGACCTTGATATCTACCATCTGATGTTATCCAGCAGAAAAGCTATACTTAGTGCTTTAAGAGTTGAAAAGTGGATAATACTAAATTCAGTTTTTAGCAAAATAAAACAACTATCATGTAGCATATTGAAGCACATTGGTAACAACTTGGATAATAAAGTCTGGAACAGGTTGGAATATATTAAGACAAATAACCAAGAGGAATCATATTTGTTTAATTGAGCGAAAGCTAACAGAATTTTTAAAGTCCGCACATGATTAATAGATCTAGACTAGAACTTATCTTGGAAGTCTTGGGAATAAATCGCCCACAGGATGGACATACAGTTAATTAATTGCTGACCTTAACTCATTAAAATGCGGGTTCTTTGACATTTTTAGTATGCTAGCTAATTGAGGCTCAAAGTGTTAAGGTAAGGAAGCTTGGAGATATTTGTGCATGTAACATTTTTTTATTCGCCTATAGGTCATAAGCTTTTAATTGTTCAAAAACATGAGATGGTGAAAGCATGGGAATTAAACTTCTACTAATAGTCTCGACTTCATAATTAGGTCAAGACAACTAGAAATTTGAGAAATTTGGGGAAATGCTTAGTAATGGTACGATAGATTCGGCCACTATAATATATAAAAGCAGCTAAAATTATTTTTATAATATTATGGGCATAGATAATTAATTTATAGCCTTACTCTCTGGCATAATGCATTAATCTATTAAAAAGTTTCCCTATTCTCACACAGCCACTCATTTATGAATTGAGGTTAAATTAACCGTGAGTTTTATTGAGCAACCTACATAAGGTACTTCTTGCTAGAAGCATATATTAATAAAATTCACGGTTTCTTGATATGACCGAATAAGTATCTATTTATAATCTGTGAATATTCGGCACTTAAAGTGTAAACTTATAACCAATAAAAGGCTTGATAGACATAATAAATTATATTTCGTTATTTTGAGTAGGTTTTTGTGACTACCATAGATAATAAATTATAATATTTCACAGATAATATTGAGATGAACCAGAGGTTTTCCTATTTAGAAAGTAGCCGACAAAAATCCTAATTTATGGCATTGCTGCAAGTAGTTATTCCTAAACGCTATATTAATATACCATAAATGATTCCATCTTATTTCTGTTAAAAGTGAAACTTAACAGACAGATAATCCATCTTTGCTTTTATCTTTTTAAATAGAGAAATCAAGGTTGCAAATATTTTAACAACTCTGCAAAAAATAGTACCACTAAGAACATGATGGCCAGACTTTTTACTTTCATTAAAGCGAATAATGGATAAGTTTGATACTACCGCCTTTCTCCTGCTGAAACAAAGTCATATTTAACGAATTCGATTTAATCATAAAAGGAAGCTGAATAAAATTTACTAATGATCAGATAGATAATAGATAGATACTAGATAATATAGATACCCATATTTGGACCATGGACTTGGCAGATTCCCAGATGTTTCATCTGCATCGTAATCGACACCGTCAGTGAGTCTTGCCATTCTTAGCACTATACACAAACTCGTTAAATATACAAACAAAGTCGATCCTTTCACTAATTGTTTGCTAAACAGTTGCGATATCTCTTCTTCTGTACGTGAATAGTTCTCAATAAATCCGCTCAAAAGTGCACACCTTCATTGCGATTAAATATGCAAGTAACAAATAGTGATTGTGAAGGAATATTACGTGAATAAGGGGACATCATGGGAAAAAAGATAACACAACTGTTTAGCAGACAAGTGACCAAAGGATCAACTTCACTTGACTCGTTGACAAGTTTAGCATAGCGCTGAGAATCGAAAGGCCTACTCATGATGCCGACTATGACGCCAGCAAGATGTTTGGGAATGCATCAGTCTATGGTCAAACTTTGTACGTTATCATGGATGCTATGGACTTCGAACAAGGTAAGTTCATTCCAATCTTCCATTAAATACGACCAATTTACGTAGACAGAGTCAAACAGCATCCTGCTCCATTTCCTTTTCACTCTCTCTGGCGTATTTTTTATTTAGTTTTAGAAGGCGGGTCCAAGGGATTCGTAGATTAGCCTCACCGGATATCACAGGAGGGTTACCTTGGACTTTTGTCTGTTGAATTGTGCGAAAAAGACCTCGGCCCACCGTCTTGCGACCCCAATGACTCCGTGCTGAGCTTTCGTCCGTCCTGTGACGAAAATCGTCAGAGCCAGAAACCATTATTTACGAAAGATCACCAAAAATCGCTAAACCGCGAAAGGTGGCCAGCTAAGATCCTACCTACCTCTTATACTTCACTTTGCGATCACAATAAGGCATTCCATGATTTGGTTGGCTGACGTATGCTTGTCCTACATGATTGTAAGTGGGTCAAAGTGATACAGGAAAGGGATCAGATGTAGTCTCAACTTTTGTCAATGCAAATAAACTAAAGTATGATCCAGTTGTCCTGGGTCTTGTTACCGCTTCGTGGATGCATGTTTGTGTGTATGTAGCAACCCCGAGTTTTTTTACTATTTTAAGTTCAGAAACAAGCTCCAGCTTAGTCTAGTCTTCTCCTCTTACTCAGTGACTCTTCCTGTTCTATTTCCCTTTATCACTCTCTCTTATTCTATTTAGAAGCCAGAGATAGTTCTTACTTTGTTTGCTATATTCATTTCTCTTATTGATGATTTTGTTTGTTTTGTTAATTTAAATCGACTCCCTGATCTTCCGCTTAGCTGTGAAGTCCCCATAACCGGCAGAAAGTTGGAATTTCGACTATTCTATCTGATGTCCTGTATCGACCACATGTTCAGCCACTTCCGATTTCGGAAGTGGAAGATCCTCTAAAAGAAGGCATGATTAAGGGAAGCGTAAATGTTTACTTTATAAATTGTCTTAACACTCGATTTCCTTAATAATTCGCCCATCTTTGTTGAAAGCTTGGAGGATGGTAGCATTAGGAATCTGGCAGAATAATCGTCTAATTCCTTGTTTGGGCTCAAATAATGGTTAAAATTACTCTTTTTCTTAATATTTTGAAATTGTTAATGATTAATCCTACATGGTAATTGTTCTCAACTAAGATCTCTCTAAGTCTTTCTAACTCCTATTCTTGATGACTTACATCCGTTAGGCATGAATTCTTTATTTTCATTGATTTTATTACGCCTATTATAACAACATAAGTATGGTTCGAGAAGAAACTAAGAAGGAAACCAGCATTTGTGGGTTTCCTATATACAACTTTACCCAATTTGCTCCCTTCTTTACTAACTAGGACATCTAAGAAGGGTAACTTATTCTCTTTTTCTAACTCCATAGGGAATTTAGTCGCCTTATCTACTCTATTCATTAAGCCAAAGAAGTCATCGAAACACTGTTTTTCATGATGCCAGATAGCAAAGTAATCATCCAAGCACATGACCAATAGTTTCGGAACCTGGCGAAATTCTTGAAAAAGCCAGACTTTCAATTGAGCCATGTAGTTATTAGTTTAAACTGGAGACATACACGATTCCATAGCCAACCATCCTGTTTGCTCGTAAAATTTACCATTAAAGATAAAATAGGTACTATTCATTATTAATTTCGTCAATCGCATGATTGACTCCTTGCTCATTCTATTTCCTGATATTATCTCTGGGTGTAGATCTAAGGTTAATCCTAATGCCTGTATGGCCCAGCTTATCGGCACATTCGTGTATATCGATACTACATCAAAACTTACACTAGCAAACCTTTACGTTCTTTTGTTTGCTCGTCTATTAGCCTAATAAAGTCATAAGAATTCTTTATTGAAAATTTCCAAAAACCTGAGATTAACTTTAATTGACCAAAAAATAATCGTGATGTTTTATGCATCACGCCACCCTTATTATTTATAATAATCCTAAATAGGACCCCTTTGTGGATTTTGGGCCGACCATATGCATTAGGAAGTCTTTTGTCACGTTGAAGAAGTGCATTTATTTTCCATTTCTTCAATTCTCCGCTATTAACGTAATGTTGTAGGCAGCACTTAAGCATAGACTTTAGTGTTTCTAAAGGGTCTTTATTTATAATCCTAGCAACATCAGTTTGGGCCAGCATCAACTTTTCTATATATTTGGTCCTATACCTTACTACCACTGCTCTTCTTTTTTTTCCCCTCAAAACTATTTGCTCGTGTTTTCTAAGCTTCTTTGTGATATAATTAATATATCGATTCTTATTTTGTGGTTCTACATGTCTATCAATTAGAGGGACAATCTGTTTTTCAATCTCACTTCTAGTTTCTTCTGTTAATCGGTAAGTAAAGTTAATAACCTCTACTAAACTCTCATCAATGAAGCTCTTACTATTTGGCAAAGCATT